ACAAAACGCACGCAAAAACGATGCTCGTGAGTTGGAAATCCTTATCCTGCCATTCGTCAGCGAATAAAATTACAAGGTTGACTCGTGACTGATCGTGACCTCGGTGAAATCGGCTTCTACGTTCCCGCTGTGAGAAAACCGCGAGCTTTTTGCTACTTAAATAATAGACAAATCTCCTTCTGCTGCCGTGGAAACCCATTACGCCCCCCGGGTGTGTCGATTGGCTGTGATTCGAGGCGTTGCGCCTCGGAGAGGAAAATTGCGGCCGGAAATCCAGCGATTACCAGCCGAGTCACGATTCCGCGAAAGAACGAGAATCCGATTGCGCGGATTAGCTTTTTAGATCGGCGTCAAACGGACTACCTAATTGCCAGCGATATCCGGATCGCCGTTGTTCCGGCCAGTTATCGCTTGGTTGCGATATATACACCGTAATCATGGTTGCGGGCGGACAGAGAACTTGCCGGCGTAATTTACGGTTCAGCCAGGTGCGTCAGAAGTTGCTCACCTTACGACCTAATTGGGTTTAATTACAGCTCTTACTGAAAGTTACGCCGGCATCGTGCTCACCCTGTACAGGGTGGCTTACAATTACCAGCCGCCGACAGCTGATTTTCAGTTACCAGCGATCGGCCCTTATTACACAACCGTCTATGATTTCTCGCCGTTGCTTCCCCGCAGAGGCTCCGATTCTCTACGAAACTCGTGAGAAACGTAACCCCTTCGCCGGCGAAGATTAGGATTTCCCGGCGTCGTGTCCACCTGCCTCTGTCTTGAATAACGACGCGAATCTTCCACCCTATGTTCGTTCGTGTGTCCGCATGAAGGTGATCACAAGCACAGCAGCTAATCGATGATCGAGTCGATCTAACGTGATTCGATTCGCGCTTTGATTAGAAGGTTAGGAAGTCGGTAGGAGGTCGATTAATTAAAAGGCGATGTGATTGAATTAATATTTAATTACAGGCTCTTGCCTCTTGTTATTTCATGTGCAATCTGTTGGCATGGAAATCACTCGACTTCGACTCGGAAACATCTGCAGAAGAGCGAAACGTTGGACAGAGATGTCACAATGAAATTTGTACTGTATCTATAACATCTTACTACTAACTGTACTATTTATTAATGAGTTATGATTACGCG